CAAAGAGCAGAAGCGGTGGAGACAGAAGAGATAACCAGATCTGAGACTTCGTCGGAGATGGTGGATAAGATCCATCCCTGGAGGAGAGCGTCGAGTTGGAGCCACTCATCATCGTCTTCAGAGAGAGGGACGATGGAGCCATTGATGTAGCCTTGGAGATTGAATCGGCGCACCAAGAGGAGGAAAAGGCGACTCCACTTTTTGTAGTTCGGTTGAGAGAGGCTGAGAAGAACCGGAACATGGAGTTTGACATTAGAGATCGTCGTGAAGGCAAGATGAGGGGTTTTTGCCGGACTGGAGTTGGAGGTAACCTCGCTTTCGGCCATTAGAGAGAAGAGAGCCGAAGGGAGAAGGGGGGGGAGTGCCGCCGCTGGGGAACTGCCGACGTCGAAGGAGGGACGGCGGGGCGGCGCTGTGACTGCCGCGAGGGAGAGAGAGAGCCGAGAAGTAGGGTTAGGGTTTTTTTTTGTTTAATTAGGCTCCGATACCATGAAGAATTATGATTTTCATTAATTGAAAGAGTTGTGATTACATGTATATATATAAGGGGAGTTTCAATCCTAATCAAGGTAGGAGAGACACAAGTAAGGAAACCTATACAAATAAGGTAAGGGAATAATACAATATATTAAATATATACAATATATTTAACATTATGTATGACTTAGACTGATACGATGTCCTGTTCATAAATTGAAAGTTCTTACTCCTAATCTCTGGTAAACCCACCAACTCCGTCCCGATCCAAACACACCCACATCTACTTAAAGTAAATTTTGACTTTGAATTCAAAATGTACAAATATAAATATTGTTGGTCAAAATGTCGCATTGAATATTGTTAAAAGTCAAATATATGTACACGTCGTTTTTTCACATTTTTCTTGAATGTACAAGTATATGTTAACTTTTAAAAGACTTATATCGAACACGCACTAAATTAATACACTTCACCAAAAAAGGAAAGTTTCTAAACAATGGATCTTTGTTGCTCCACAGTTTAAAACATGTCAACAACTAACAGTCCATCAAATAAATTTTACGAATGAATGCAAAATGAAAATATTTAGACTTTATTAGGTATATATTTCTATCAACATATCATGCATGTTTATATTCTCATAGGAACCGTTATAAATTTGCAATTTTGGAGCATATATATTTAATTACTCACTCCGTTTTTTAAAACCCTCCTCTTTCATTTTTTTGTTTTTCTTAAAACACTTTTTTTTCTATTAAAAAATCACTTTACCCCTTACTTTTTCATACCCTACCTATCACATCATACTTTTTTACTAATAACTAGACTATCACATCTTATTTTTGTCCATCACATCAGGGGCAAAATTGGAAAGTCAACTAAAATTTTACTTTCTTTATTTTGCCCCAAAGTCAAAATAAGAACCGTTTTAAGAAACAGACAGAGTATATGTGAAGTTTTGTACTCCGTACTTCCTATGTCCCAAAAATGTTCTCCTTTTGACTTTAATAAGGAAATTTAAGGGAGAGATTTTTTATGTGTATATTCCAAAAATACCTTTGATGTGAATGAAAAATAGAATGTGATGTGTATGTATATTATTAATAAAAATGTATGATGTGATAGATAAATTTAGAATTAATATGTAGGGGTAAACAATATATTTTTAATGGAAATGGAAAGGATTTTTGGGACTTCGTGAAAAAGGGAGCAATTTTAAAACACAAACTAAGCAGATGGACCAACGGAGTAGTACGTAAAAAGGCGAAAATAAATCGACCAAATATGATATAATAATTGAAAACATATAGAGTCCAAGAAAACAATGACCTAACAACAATTGTGACCATTTATTTCTTTCTCATATTACAACGAACGAACAAATTAAGTTAGCTTAGCTTGTTCCACAAAATTTTCTCATATACGTATGTACGATAGCACCAAATAAATGTACCATACATATTAGATATAGGTAGCTTGAAATATTGGGTGAGACACACACACACACACGTGCAGGATGGCATGTTGAAGGGGTTAAAGCAACCATACATACATATGCTTATTTAATGAAGATTTGGTACGTTACGTTGGAGTATCGTTTTTGTGTTTCACATATGTATGTAACCATTGTATGCACGAAAATGATCATCGTACGTTTCACTATGACATTGACATGCATGCATGCTCATACCTTAATTCTTGTCATCTCTTATTTTAAATGATGTCAGTTTTATTTTTAATTTCTATACCAATTTTTAAATAAATAAATAAAAAATATTTTTTTTCCCATAGAGTGTGAAATTTTGGGACGGAGGGAGTATATTTTATCATTTAGAGAAGTGCTAGAGTCACAAAATACACAAACTTACTATTTATGTATTTAAATGTCTATTTTTTTTATTATTTATCATTATTTTATTCACTTGGTGAGGTGCACAAATAGAAAGTTTGTGTATTTTGTGACTGGAGTTTTTGTGACTCTAGCATTTTTCTATCATTTATAGAAATAGAGCAAGTTGGGAGCTATAAATTGCAGCATAGTGGCGGACACGAATTTTCTGGGACTGGTCATTTGCTACCAATTTCGTCAAGTTATTGGTTTTTAATTTCATTTTACAGGTGTGTGTATCTGTACATTTCCAATGTACGGAGTATATCTTTTTACTGCGCTTTACGGAGTAATAATTTTGTTGAATAATTAATGACATTATCGCGTCACTCAAGAAATATTGGTATGTATATATATATATATATATATATATGAAGCAATTCAAGACAAGTGTGATTCAACCTGGTAATAGAAGCTAACTAATATGTAAACATTACCATAAATAATACTCGTGTTATTGCCCACTACACTACGATTATTGCCTAAGAAATTTAATAAAATAAAAATATTCATGCATGTCTCTTTTTATTTTGTAAGTTTTTTAATTTAGTTTTAATTTTTTTTTAAATTTTAACAATAATTTTCGAATTACAAAACAAAAGAAAAATTTATAAGTGAAAGAGTATGTGGTCAATAGAGCACCGTATTTGTCGTCTTGTCGTGCTCAACTAACTTCATACTCAGGAGGGAGTATATATTTATGGAAAATGCTAGGGGTACACCAAAAGTGTCCTCCAAACATCCCCACCCCCCTTCATCACTATACAAAAAAGGTAAGAAAATTTCAAAAAAAGTAAAAAATTAAAAAAAATTAAATGAATGGTGTAGAGGCAAGTGGTGTACATTTGGGGTACACCTGTATTTATCCATGTATGAGCACATCATCCAACTAACCAAAAACAATATAATGTATGCTATATATGATAGATGACGACCATGATAATAATAATAGTAATAATAATAATAATAGTAAAAAAATAATAGTCTAGGACGGGTTATAAGAACACGTTCTTGGTGATCTACCAACCTCGAAGAATCCACAGGTTTGATGAGAATGAATATGAGCAAGTGCCATGTAAATTATGTGTTGTATGATATGTGTGATTTGTATGTTGATTGCACGATGTCACATAATTGTTATAAATTGTGGATGAAGTTATTAGATATTTCTCCTTCAGCCTCATTGTTGAGCGTGCATATTTATTTATTTGCTACAGGTAGGTAATTAATGTCATGATGAACCTAAAGCCGATCCAGAGGACAATAAGGAGGAAGAGATGTGCGTGATCTTGATCGAGGATTTGGAATTATTTACTATTTCTAAATAATTTATTATGTTTTCGGGCGTGAAACCATGTTGTGTTTGTTGAAAATAAATTAAGCCTCCCTCCGATGATGGATTTTGTTATGAAAACTATTTTGATGTTTTAAATTATTATAAAAATACTACTGTGTTTGGATACCGAATTAGTGGCAACTCAATTCACTAACTCGTGTAATCAAGTTATGCGGGTTGGGGTATTACAATTTTAATACTTCATCACCAACCTCGTGGAAGAATAGGATGTGGGTAGATTAAGAGTAATAAATATGATTAGTTAATAATTAATAGAGATGTGATAATTACTTCCATGAATAACTTACAGACAGAAATGTGCGTCACAATATTGTTGTGGAAACATATTTCTTTTGGTTTATAGTGCGATAGTCAAAGTAAATGAAAATTCATCATATATATAAACCTTCATCAGTCTTAATTGTTGATTGTACTCCTCCTCCTCAAGCCACACTGATTTGAAGATTTGCATGGAAGTAGTCAAACACAGCTTGGGATTTGATTATTTAAATAATATAATGATCAGTTTGTTAATTATATATACTACGGAGTAATAATTGTTAAATATATTGTATATATTTAATATATTGTATTATTCCCTTACCTTATTTGTATAGGTTTCCTTACTTGTGTCTCTCCTACCTTGATTAGGATTGAAACTCCCCTTATATATATACATGTAATCACAACTCTTTCAATTAATGAAAATCATAATTCTTCATGGTATCGGAGCCTAATTAAACAAAAAAAAACCCTAACCCTACTTCTCGGCTCTCTCTCTCCCTCGCGGCAGTCACAGCGCCGCCCCGCCGTCCCTCCTTCGACGTCGGCAGTTCCCCAGCGGCGGCACTCCCCCCCCTTCTCCCTTCGGCTCTCTTCTCTCTAATGGCCGAAAGCGAGGTTACCTCCAACTCCAGTCCGGCAAAAACCCCTCATCTTGCCTTCACGACGATCTCTAATGTCAAACTCCATGTTCCGGTTCTTCTCAGCCTCTCTCAACCGAACTACAAAAAGTGGAGTCGCCTTTTCCTCCTCTTGGTGCGCCGATTCAATCTCCAAGGCTACATCAATGGCTCCATCGTCCCTCTCTCTGAAGACGATGATGAGTGGCTCCAACTCGACGCTCTCCTCCAGGGATGGATCTTATCCACCATCTCCGACGAAG